TTCCATGAACAGGAAAAAGACAAGGCTCAAGGAAAAGCAGGGCAGTCAGTTGAGGGCTGTCAGGAAGGACATGCCTGCTTTTTTTCAGAGTGGACTATTGCATTAATTTCCTAGTCCTGTTGTGCAAAACAGATGCCACAGACTTGGTTCTTAAACAGCAGGGATTTCCTTTCACAGTTTTGGAGGGTAAATGTCCAAGATCAAGGTCTCAGCAGGGTTAATTACTCCTGGGGCTATGAGGAAGGGTCTGCTCTAGATTCTCTCCTTGACTTGTAAGCTATCCTCCCTCTCTCATTCCCTCCCTCTCTTCTCTCTTATCCCACTCTTTCTCTTTCTCCTCTTCTTCCTTCTCCTCCTCTTCCTCCTTCTCCTCTTCCTCCTCTCTCTCCTCCTCTTCTTCCTTCTCCTCCTCTTCCTCATCTCCCTCCTCCTCTTCCTCCTCCTCTTCCTTCTCTCTTTCCTCTTCCTCCTTCTCCTCTTCCTCCTCTACTTCCCTTTTCCCTCTCCCTTCTCTCTTCTCTCATACTGGGGATTAAACCCAGGAACTCATGCACACTAAAAATGATCTACCACTTGAGCTATACTTACAACCCTTTTTTACTTACCTTGTTTTTGAGATTGAATGTCTCTAACTTTGCCCAGTCTGGAACTCATGATCTTCCTACCTCTACCTCTAGAGTATCTTAGATTAAAGTATGTGCCACTACCTCTTTACTCCTGACTATATCTGTCTTTGTCCTGGCCATCAGATCCAGCTAGCTGCTTAAGGAGTCACTTTGAGCCTTTGCAGGTGGTTCTCTTCATCATCCTGCAAACTAACCATGTTGGTTAGTGCCTTGTTCAGAGTACTTTCTTGTATTCCTTCCAATGTATAGCAACCTGCCTGATTCCTCTGGGTCTCCCCACAGTGCAGCAATATTGGTTGGTATGCACAATGGCACACCATTGGACTTTCTTCTAATGATACTAACTCCAGAATCATTGATTTAGAAGCAGAAGAGCAGAGGGCCACCTGCCTCTTCACTTTCCATGTAGGACAAGGATCTGTCAACAGCCCAAACCAAGATAAGCACTCAAAATTACTATAGGATCAGACCTAGTAAAGAAATGTATCTTCTCCTGCCTGAAGTAATCACTAATACTTCTTTTCCTGGAATTACCTTCTAAGCACCCTCCCATACACAAGAATACAATGACTTTGGAGCAATACTGGTCTTTAATAAGACAATAGATCAATCAGTCAATGCTTCTTACCTCCCATCTTTGCCCTCCTGACAATTCTTCACCTACTCCCTTTGGACTTTTTCTGCCTAAAAGTGGTCCAGTTGTTCAAAGCTCCCTCCATCTACTTTGCTCCCAAGGAGAGCTCACTGCTTCAAAGTGTCGTCTAGGCTCACCCAACATTTGCAGTTAAATCCTTCTTATATCCCCAGCTATTCTAGAATATCTCAAACCCACTGCTTGGGGGAAACAACACATTTTGTTTCTGAAAGACATTTCATTTTTTATAATGCACTTCTCTATTTTTATAATGTGCTACTGTATTGTTTAAAAGCATGACCTCGGTTTTATGTAACTTTGATTCATTGTTGGTCATACTGGAACAGTCAACATCATCATCCACTTGGCCGAAGAGCTCTGGCACTCCTGGACCTTTGGCTAGGCAACACCATGGCTTGAGCCCTATTTTGTTTTTGGCCTTACTTCTTGGAGTGAGATGGGTCCTAAGATGGGTCCTTCCCATCTTGTCTGGCTCAGGTCAGATGCTCATTTGTTTAGGAAGCTCACCTTGCTGCCAGTGAAAACACAGGCAGTGCACAGCTTCGTTTCTGGTGCCCTCCCTCCTATCTATGTTACCTAGGTTACTTTGCCCTAACACATACCATGATGTTCTGCATTTTCTGCCTCCTGCTGCATTGTGAAACCTACCCTTCATAAGGCATTCTATCTTAATCATGACTGTATCTTCCTTTCTTGGCTCAGAATAGGAGATTCCTGTTTATTTGATCACTTTGCTGATTAAAGAAACCAAAGTTAGAATTCCAGGTCCTGTGGATGGTATAAAAAGGAAATATGTATGTTCAGGGAGATTTCTGATGTTTCTCAGAGTAAATCCTTTGGGAGAAAAATCTGGATGATGTGTACAAAAATTATCCAGACCAGCCCAAGAGATTTGTGGAGAGGAAGCAGAGTGTAGAATAGGGTACATCTGACACTACCTGCCTACCTCTGGGTGTTCCAGTACAAGTCATGGTTTGTAAAACTAGTGTCAAATTGCTCAGCTTTATCTGGACCCCTACCCCAATTAGTGAAACTTCACATTCATTTTCTTCGTATTATTAGTGAAGGAGACTGATGATCAGACGTACTTCTGTAGTTTTCTAAGATAAAGGTTAAAGGTCACCATTTCCAAGGAATACTCCTTTGGAAGAACCAAACCAAAACACATCTTCTCTCTTCCAGGCATAAATTTTATATAATGAGCTCTTGTTAGCTTATTGCAATGTTTTCTTCCTTGCTGATATTATGTGGACTTAGTCTTTTAAGCCCTGAATGCACTGGAGGTGGATCATCATCTTTTCTGAGATCCAGTTTTAACCAAGAAACATCAGCAAGAGGATTGGAACTTGGCTCTTCATTTTCAGAACAAGTTTATTAGACCATTTTGGGAGGCCATCAAGGGCTGGGGAATATTCGCTTGATGCAGTTTTATCAAACCTTTTCTCTGAAGCAGCTTCTGTCTGCATGCCTATAGCAGTCACTGCTTATCTATGGACTTATTGAAACATTTTCAAGAACTAAAGGAAAACCCCGAGAATTTGCTCTTACCCTGCCCTGTGACCAGTTCTCTGACCTTTTATTTTAGATTTCTTGACTCATCTCTCAGTATTTGAGAGGTGACTGGGTGATTTCCAACACCTCAAGATCTCCTAGAAGTTTGGCCATGGAGGTACTGCTTTGAGTTGGTTTCTTCTTCTACTTTTTAGACCAGATATGTCAGTTGCTAACGTCATCCAGCATGGCCATTGAAGCTAACTCTGCAGGATCTTCTCACATGGTATTTGTCATCTCCTGGTCTAAAAGCAAATCCTCAGGAAAAAATGAATACCAAGTTTTCCTGTCTTATGTTGGGATAAGGCAGACTAGCTGGCCAGTTGTCTTTGAACCAAATTAAAGACATTGTTATATTATTGTCTCACTCTATGCATTCTGGATATATTTCTAAGGAAGAAATATTAAAACAAAAATAAAAAGTATCCTTTGATGTTGGAAGTAAGACTGTTTGAAGGACAGAATCACCTTATCATACACTTCTGAATAATGTAGATCTATTTCTTTTATAAAAAAAAATTGACTTAGTGGGCTGGGAAGGTGGCTCAGTGGTAGAGCGCTTGCCTTGCATGCATGAGGCCCTGGGTTTGATTCCTCAGCACCACATAAGCAAAAAGAAAAAAGCCAGAAGTGGTGCTTTGGCTCAAGTGGTAGAGTGCTAGCCTTGAGCTGAAGAGCTGAGGGACAGCACCCAGGCCCAGATTTCAGGCCCCACGACTGGACCCCCCCAAAAAAAATTTGACTTAGCAATATTATTTGGGCAGGTTAACTTCAGTGTGAGAATGATTCAGTTAGGTCTGCCTGGGAACATGTCTTAGTTTTATGTAGTTAGCCTTATAGAAACCAATAATGGCTTCCCTCCAAACTTGGATGTGTACTTGTATCAGAAATAGAATTATGGTTGGTGATGCAGAGACCTTTTATTTTGCTGGTCCTGGAACTTGGATGCTGTCCCTGAGCCTCTTTGTACACAAGGCCTAGCACTCTACCACTTGAGCCACAGCATTACTTCTGGCTTTTTCTGAGTAGTTTATTGGAAATAAGAGTCTCGTGGACTTTCCTGCCCTGGCTGACTTTGAACTGCGATCCTCAGATCTTAGCCTCCTGAGTAGATAGGATTATAGGCGTGAGCCACTGGTGCCTGGCTGGCATTTTTTTTAATGCTGTGGAATGGTTAATTCTTTCTGATTTTATTATCATTCCTAACATAATCCAGGAGGTTCTGCCAACCCCACCGGAGGGGAGGCATCTATGAGCCATCTTCTTTGGCTACCTACAGACAAGGCAAGAGGATGGTGCATAGAGCCCTGATTCAAGACAGGTTTATTAAGATGCATCTGAGCTTGAGGCTCTCATCCACAGGATGCTGCATTGGGAAGCGAAGGAGGGGGGCATCATCGGATGCTTAGTGCAAATACAGTTGTCAAGGCGAGGAGCAAGGGTGTTGTTTAGTATTGAAATCATGTATTCCAGATGTGGGCATTTGGTAGTCAATCTGTTCTGAAGTGACATGCTGCTGAATCTTTAAAGGGCTTCAGCCAGAGAGAGCAAAATCTGATTGGGCAAATTGCTAAAATATTTAAAGTGCAGCCTGTTAAAGCTTTTACTGCGAAGAGCATCACGTCAGAAGTTGTAGTCAGAAAGAGCGAGTAATTGGCTTTCCATCCTGATGCTAGTCAGCCAGCATGAGCCTCTATTCCTATTCCTTCCTCTTCATTGCCGATGCTAATAGTAACCCTTTGTGTGTGTGTGTGTGCATGCGCGCGTGTGCACACACATACACACACACACACACACACACACACACACACACACACACACACTGAGGAAATTGGATATCTGCTAAAACCGGAGAATGAGGAATATGATGGTCTTATAAGGGGAAATTGAGGCCACAAAATGACATAAAGCCTATTCATGATAAAAGAGGCAAGAGCAAGACACAAATGTTACTGGAAAAAAGATCTAGCAAGTATACTTCTAGGTGGGTGGTAATGGTTTAGGACAGTTGTCTTTGATGGGGTGGATTCTACAAGCAAGAGATGGACACTAGTAGCAGCCACTTTCTCTGCATCTTTCATCTCCTCTGAGATATAGCTCAAGGGGCACTTTCCATATATAATTTATCGCGGTTTTCCATTTAGCATTGCCTGTCCTTTTCTCCCCAGGCACGACCCCTTGTTAATTCCTGGCAATGATCAGATTGACAACATGGACTCTAACGTGAAGAAGTATGACTCTACTGGGATGTTTCACTGGTGTGCGCCCAAGGAGATCGAGAAAGTCATTCTGGTGAGTGACTGATGCCCTCCACTTCCACCCACCATGACGTCTACCTGGAGTGAGACTCCTCCAGTACGTCGTGGATGATGTTGTCCCTGGCCTCAATTGTTTCTGATGATTGAAGTTCTGCACAGAGATTTAAGCAGCTAGAAGCTTGGTCAGGACATGAGCCAAGAGCAGAATTTTCTGTCTCTGAATATTTGTCAGCTCATTGCAATCATCCTGCAGTAAGGCATCCATCATGAGAGGCAGGATGTGTGTCATTCTACTCCATGTCATCCTAAGAGCAGAGCCAGCCTACGCCATCAGGTGGCCACATGGCTTTGGGCGCATCTCCTCTCTTGGTAGTATATATATGTGGGTTAATATTAATAATATTATTATTATTACTTCAGCTCACTCATGGGTAAGAAGATGAGGTGAGAATAGCCCTCACTAACACGGTTATTAGAGAAATTTAAACCCAACATATGGCTCCATGGAATTGCCTGTTCCTTTTCCTGTTTTTAATAATAATATTGGCACTATTGTCCTTCACTGTTATCCGTCAATGCTACCTGCACTGTTGCTTAATTACAAGCATGTCTCTGAAACCTTACAGATAATAACCTCATGCATCTGTGGTCCTCCCTAGCACATGTTGAAGGCAGACAAGTGTGTTTGCTGATGACACTGTAGAACCACCATGGGGAGGAGGATGCTCAGATCCCAAGCTCATGGGTGGTGCCTGAGCACCTTCATTGCAGTGTGCTTCTGTTCTGTCACAGAAATGTCAGCAGAGATAACAATCCGATCTACTCTAGGGTATTTGGCCTATTAACAGCTTTAGGTTTTAATGCTTACATTGGCTTTCCTAGAGTTTATTGTCTTGCTCATCCACAAAAAAGTGGATTAATAATTGGGAAGATCTGATGGAAGGGTTCTTTCTCCCTTCTGCCTCTAATCCGCAGATGGCCGAGGCCTTTCTCCTTTGTCAGCTAGGGAAATCCTATCATTCCTGAGGTCCTGGCCACTCTTCCCTAATAAGGACTTTCCACGTCCTCAGAATGGCTTTGTATGCTTATCCACTAGATTTGTTTCTCCTGTGTTCTATTGAGTGTGTGTTTTCTCAGTTATCAAGGAGCATTTCAAACCAGTAAAGTATTCTGCTGGAGGCTGTCTCTGAGATGGGAAAGCTACAGACAGAAGTCCAGGAAGTAAGAATTCTCAGCAAACTGTCCTTGTGTCACTTACCAGGAGTGAAAATGTTCTAAACACTGTTTTTTTTTTGGTACATTTCTTTCTTGTGGTTCTGATCACACATTGACCTTACTAGTCTGAATTTGTACCCTTTCCCACTTGTGGCAGATCATAGGCTGGGTGCTCCATCAGGGACCCACGGTTTCAATGATTTGCCTAGACTTTCCTGAGCAGTGGCATTCAGTCAACATCCTTTCCTGGAAAGAAAGACAGCAGGGAATGTTCTTCTGAAAAGGATATCATTTTAGAAAACATTCATTGCAAGCCTACTATGTGTTAGTCACTGCTCTTGTTCCAGAGGAAGAATACCTACAGCATGCAGTCTACGGGAACATAGAGAACACTTCTAGATAGGCAAATGAGTGCGCAAGAATATTTCAGATATTAATGAAGTGCCATGAGGGAAACAAGGCAGGGTCCTAGATTAGAAAAGGACAGGGAGGGGCTGCCTGGACAGGTTGATCTACAGAGGTACTTCTGTAACAACACTGGAGTAGCGGTAAGGACATGAAGGATCAACTGTGTGACATGCTGTCGACCCACTGGGTACAGGACATTCATGGTTTCTGGAATTATGATGTAGAAGAGATGGTCCTGATCTTGAGGAAATGATCATAATTGGATGGAATATAGAAAATGTAACCATGGAATATAGAAAAATGTAACGGTAGAATAACCTCCTAAGATCGAAGGGCTGTGGGGCGCAGAGTGCTATTCAGACATCAGGGAGATGTACCGGTGTGTGTTTAATATACAGAGGTGTTGTCAGAAGGGCCTTAAGGCCATGAATTCAGGCCCAGCTCGGGGCAGGCCTTGAAGGATGGATGTCCAGAGAAACATGTGAGTAATTTTTAAAAAATGTGTCTTAAACTTGGCAGAATCACTCTCCCAGGGCTGAGGCATATGGATTTTTTTTTAAAGTTGTTTGTTTGATACTGTCATGGAACATTTGAGAATTGGTATTTTGATCCCAGATTGAATTTTCTAGGGTCAGTATCTGGGCATGGGACACTCTGTTAACTGGTGCCTAACCAACCCTAGATTCTAGATTTCTAGCATCCATTTGTATTCCCTCTGGTTCGGGGAGGGCAGGCAGCCTCTCATGTGACCAGGCCAATTAAAAACAATTCGGGTTCCCCATCACAGCACACCACACATTGGTTGACTGTTTGTGGTACCATGTGCCGAAAATGTTCATGAAGCGCAGGTAACTAACACCAGGTCTCCTCATGAGTCACAGGTGATGTGAGCTCCCCGAGGGGTCCTCTTTGGTCACAGTTTATAAAGCACTTCTTATAGGTTCCCTTGCATTGTTACAGAGAGAAAGCAATAATGATGACAGCCTCTGCTTTATTCTAACGATCAGGGAATGAAAGCTTGCTTCCTCCTCTCCTTGGAGGTTACTATAATAACCCTGACATTGCCGTGAATTGCAATATTGGCATTTAAACAATCAATACACTGGTCAATGCTAGGGATTAAACCAAGCAGGGTTTTATATGTGCACTGGACATTAATATGCCTCCCCCAAAGCATTGTAAACCACATGGGGCCATCCAAGCATGCAGCGGGTGGTCAGAGAGTACCGTAGACACTGCAGGATGCATTGAGTTAGAAGAAGAGGCAGAGAAAAGACCACATCTAGCCTTCTTGTATTGTACTCTTCACTGGTACCATGCACCAAACAGCCATGGTGGCTAAGCTTTTGTATTTTCTAAGAAACTGAAGTCTTCTTCATTGAAGTATTTGTCTCCTTTGTGAATACAGACCCGGAGTGGGAGGAAGAGTCTGTTTGTCTTTCTGATTTGTCTGTAAACCCTTTTAGTGATATTCTTGGAGGGTTCTTTCTTATATATGGTGAGCACTTCTAGGGATGACCCTGAAACACCAAGACAGCATTGGACAGGGGTCAACAATACTTTCCTGTAAATACATGATTTAGATCTTGAGAGCCTTATGCTCTGTGTCATAACTGGTCAACGCTGCTGTTACAGCGTGAAGGCAGCCATAGAAAGTACCTACATGTATGAGCTGGGATGTGTTCCAATAAAACTTTATTGTGGTTTGAATTTTATATCATTGTTGCCTATGATGACATGTCCTGGTTTTATTTCAACCACTTCGAAATTCAGAAGCTACATTTGGGTCACTGGTCACACAACATGCAATGTAGTGAACCAGACAGAGTCTGAAAGTCCCTCACTTTCGATATCACATTCTATCTTCTTGTGCCATCATATACGATGACACTTCACCAAGAAGTCTAAAACTAAAAACTCAGATTCCTTAAGCAGAGACCCACAAGGCATCCAACCATTTTAGAAAAGAGCGTGGAAAGGGATCTCATGTTTATCAACAGTATCATGGAAACTACAACTTCCTTTTCTAACTCACAAGAACAATTGCTTTCATCTCACTTTCTTCCTGAAGATTGTTGCAAAATATCTTTTGCTCATGTAGACATATGACATACCTTTCTTAAATCTGTTGCCCAAGTAGGTAGTGACAGATGAATACATGTTTATTTGTATTTGTTGTATAAATATAATATCTACATATACACTCAAATATGTAGAAAATTTGGGTATAATGAAATTGATAGCTGCATGAGGAAACTCTGCAGTACTATAATGAGATACCAGAAGCAGCTATAAAGAGAAAAGGCTAGCTCATAGTTTTAGAGATTCAAAATCCAAAATTGGGCTCCTCATTTATTTGGTCTCTGGTGAGAGGAGTGGAGGGTATCTTATCATGGCAGGACCACATGGAGGAAGCAAACAATCACATTTGGAATAAGAACAAAGGATAAGTATGACCAGGCTTTCTCCTTTTTTGGTAACTGATCCTTTCGGACACTCAAGGGTTCACAAGAGAACTACCAAAGGCATGACACCTAAGCTACCTCACACCGCCAATGACCTGAGAACCTCCCGTGAAGGCCCACCTCCCAACTTTTCACTATAGAATAGTGAATCCTGGGCTCATTGAGGGATATCAGACAACACCCAAGCCAAAACACTATCCCATAACAAGAACCCAACCAGTATTCACTTGGTTCTTTGCGCCCATGATGTTTTCTGACCTTACATAAATGCCGTGAGGTCTTTTCTCCAATGCCTCCCTGCCTTTTCTCCCCATTTCAGACTCGAAGCGAAGCAGCCATGACCGTCCTGAGTGGCCACGTGGTGGTCTGCATCTTTGGGGATGTCAGCTCAGCCCTGATTGGCCTTCGGAACCTGGTGATGCCACTCCGGGCCAGCAACTTCCACTACCATGAGCTCAAGCACATTGTGTTTGTGGGCTCCATTGAGTACCTCAAGCGGGAATGGGAAACACTTCACAACTTCCCTAAAGTGTCCATATTGCCTGTAAGTACAAGATCATGTTGTTGATGCTTTTTCTCTCCCTTTTATTCACAAAGAAAAAAATCCCAGGTGGATATGATCATTGAAGCTTTGATCACATCTCTGCTTCTTCATCTGGGTTTGGGCCTGAGGACGCAGTCCTTTCCTCAGTGCTCGGTCTAGGAAAATCCAAACCCTAGGAGACCTTATTAAAAGGAAATGTGTAGGCCAGTGCAGTCTCTCATCAGGGCTGAGTTAAGTTGGTATCACATCTGTTAGCCATGTCAGGATCTAAACTCTCTCTTGCCTACACAAAGCAAGGTGTTTCCACATTGTGAGACTTACACAAAGAGTTTACATTTAAAAGTGTTGATGGCATTTTACATAAGACACCGTTAATGCTTAGAAAACATTTGATTTGAGCTACCTTCTGTTTTTGCTAAATAAATGTAAATAACAGAGTTCTTTATTTCTGCTATACACAAGGTTAGCCTTCTCTGTGGACCACCCCAATGCATTTGTTTAGAAGCCCAGCAATGTTTCCATGGCTCTGTGTATGTGTGTATGTAGGTGAATGCCTGTCATATTTTTTTTACAAATATTAAATTCTCCATCTATAAAGAGGAATTCAAGATTTCACAATTTAGTGAGAGTTTATGGGATACATGATTTAGGAGTCAGATAACTCTTTTCTAATCATGGTCAATGTATACTTGCATAAAGATGTAGAGTATTGTGGTTTTCAACACTTCACGTAGTGGGTTGTCAATTAATATTTTGTCTTCAAACATTTTCCTTATAAATTTATATATTCTGAAATGGAACAAGGTGGAATTCTCTACCTGTGGAGAGGCCATGTTTTCCTCCATTTGTGAAATCAAAAACTATTATTTCTGTTATGAACTTCCAGAACTTTAGGGATGAAAAAAATAAACCAAGTAACTTTATGCATTAAAAACACGCAAAGATCCATCTACAAGCAGTACACGTAAGTTACCCCCATTTGCCTGTCATGTAACTGGCCCAGTAGGTCCTCAATAAATATTTAAAGAAGTAAACCATCTCAGATACATCTCTATGAGATGCAGGGATGGAAGCCAAATGTGTAAGTGAAAGCATGTATTTTAAGATAGTCATCGAAAGACAGATGAAAGTCTCACAAGAACATCGACATTTACTGTTTATAGTTTGCTAATTTCAGAAAAATGATTTTATGCTTTCAGAGTTATCATACATTTGCTGCTACATGTAGTCCTCAGACCTCTGAGCCCAAAGTTATCTTTGTCAAAAGTTAGTGGTTTGATGGTGTGTGTGTGTGTGTGTGTGTGTGTGTGTATGTGTGGTATATCTGTAGAGGGTTGGATGTGTTATGTTTTGTATTTCTATGTTTATGTGCATGTGTATTTGTGTGTGTGTGTGTGTGTGTGTGTGTATTTCCTTCTGAGTGTCCCCCTATACATTTATTCACCTACCTCCATGGACATGAATAAGATCTCATATTTACAGAACCTTTACAAACCCTCTAAAATGTAACACACTCAAGCACAGTGGATTGTACAAAGTGGACCTTGGCCTATGTCTTTTCATAATTCATTATTTAAACAGGCTGGGCGCTGGTGACTCAAGCCTGTAATCCTAGCTACTCAGGAAGCCAAGATCAGTAGATCATGATTCAAAGCCAGTGTAGGCAGAAAAATCCCCCTGAGACTCTTATCTCCAATTGACCACTCAAAAGTCAGAAGTGGAGCTGTGGCTCAAAGTGGTACAGCACTATCCTTGAGCAAAGGAGCTCAGGGACAGCACTAAGACCCTGAGTTCAAGCCCCACAACTGACAATTTTTTAAAAAATATTTAAACAAGTAACATGTATAGCTCAATTCAGGGAAACAGGAAAGCTTTCTTTTTTGTGGCTTGAAATCATATGTCTACAACTGTACAGGGTTGTATTGTCACAGTTGTACAGGATTCTCTACAAGATGAAAAAAATTTTAATATAGATGAAGGCAGCTGAGGCTTATGCACTGACAATCCAATGTAGGAAACTGACCAAGAAAGCATAGAAAAAGCCATCCTTTCCTTCTCCCAGGGGTTGCCAAACGAGCACCTGGTCATAGTCACTTCTCAGCACCCCTGTCGCCACATATCATTCATCTATGGTACCAGCTTGAAGCAATAGTCGGGGAGACTTACAACAAAATCTTGACTGCCATAAGTCATAAGGGAAGGTTAACAGGCTCTGTAGTATCTGTTTTCCCAAAGTCACTTCTTCAAGAAATCAGAGAAAGGGAGACAATAGAGATACAGGAAGCATTTAGCAAGTCCTGGATTTGTATGGCCTACATATTGAGTACAACTAGGGTCAGAATTCAGGCAAGGGGAAGCTAGACCCTAGGAGGCTGGGGGCTGGAAGCGAGTCCCAAGGTGGTGTCTTATGCTTCTGGGGAGCTCTGACGTGAATGGCCTCATCATTGATTGAGCCAAGGCCTTGCCCTTCTATTATACCTATGTTACCGTCCTACACTGTCATTAACACTCAGTGTGGATTTTTCCATTGTCTTCTGTTTTTATAGGGATTAAAAAATCTGTTTACTGACTTATTTATTTTTAATTACACTGGTAATCTACAAATTCATTCTCTTTATAAAAATTTAAACAATATAGAAGTATATAAAGTCAAAAAGCAAACTTTCCCTTTCATACCCTCCATTCTTTTCCTCTCCCTAGAGGTAATTACTGTTATTAGTTTAGTATGTATTTTTTCCTTGAGTTTTCTCCTTTGAATTTGCATATATTTATAAATATGTTTATAAATATATAATTTTATTTTGAGGGGTTTTTGTTGTTATGAATGAAGCTAAAGTTTTCCAATTGTTCTGGAACTTTTTATTTTTAACTTGCTCTCCTATTTTAGAGATTATTCCAAATCACAGACTAAGAAGAGCTAGATTTGTCTCTGCTTGTTGTAGTCTCTTCCATTGTCCATGACTCATAGCATATTTAACCATTCCTATGTTGTATAATTGTGTGACTTGTTTTTAGTTCTTGCTGAAAATAAGCAAAAGAAAAAAAATCACATGACTGGACTCTTTCTCCTTTCAGTCTCCCTTCTGTGAAGATAGGCTGTACTTCTTTCCACCATCTCCAAACTGAGCAGAGCTCTGAGCGCCAACCCAACCCACTCTGCTCCCTAAGTTCTCCTTGGCTACACTGGAAATTCTAGTTGGAACTGCTGTCTTTAGCCTGAGACAGAAGTGACCTGCTATTAAATAAACCGGCATTTGGAACCCACCCCCTCGTTACATTCTGAAAGCCAGAGGTTGCCACAGGACAGTTCCTTAAATCAAGACGATTTCCAGGCAGGAAGAAGATGTCGACCCCGGCATTATTCCTCCTGCGTTTGTTAGTAATAGCTTGATTGAGTATTGAGAGCCAGCCTGAAATGCTGCCATCAGCACTGACTACCCTTTAGATTAGCACACAGCCCCTATTCCCTGAAATGTAGTTAGGCCAGCTTAATGTCAAGGCATAAAAAAGATACTTGTTAAATAATTTCCCAAAGCTCCAGCTCAGTCTTTAATTTGTTTTCTTTCCCCCTTCTCCCCTCCTCTCTCTCTCTTTCTTCCTCTCTCTCTCCCCCCTCCTTCCCTCCCTCCCTTCCTCCCTCCTTTTATTTTTCTTTCCTCTATGCCAAAGGGTACGCCATTAAGTCGGGCTGATTTAAGGGCTGTCAACATCAACCTCTGTGACATGTGTGTTATCCTGTCAGCCAATCAGAATAATATTGATGATACTTCGCTGCAGGACAAGGAATGCATCTTGGCGTCACTCAACATCAAATCTATGCAGTTTGATGACAGCATCGGGGTCTTGCAGGCTAATTCCCAAGGTAAGGACAGCCTGTAATACTTCTCTGCTGTGCCTACGGGGGACAGGGGCTGGCAAGAGGGATATCCTTCACTCAGTAATTCAAAGAGGCTCACGTCAGCCTGCCTGCCAGTGAAACTTGTGGTGGCCGTGATGTCTTTCAGAGCAGCATCTGCTCCTCTTCTTACCATCCCAGGATGCCAGCCTGATCCCTGATTTATGCCTTCACCTCAAATGCACACTGGGTTGCTCCACAGACAATAAACAAGTTTTTAAATGACCATTCCCTCAGCCTTTCCCAACAGTGGCTTTATGGCCAAGGTCACCAGCTAAGTATCAGAGCATTGGGGAAAAAATGCTAGCTGTACAACTTCCCATGTGTGTGTGTGTATATATATATATATATATATATATATATATATGTATGTATATGTATATATATATATGGATATATATATATATATATCCATCCATCCAACTGAGATGGCAATGTTAAGTTGTTCCATCGTTGAGGCTGTAGCTAAGATTCTGCTGACCAAGGGCTAGTGATCTCTGCAGAGGACACTAAAAGTCATTTAGCAAGAGGTGGCACTTGTCAACACATATATTTTTCCGGAGGTGGTACAACCACTTTAAATGACACCCAGTTGCCTTCTTCTCTGCCTCCAATCTTCCCTGTCACTTACTTTGGGATCCTGGGCAGGTGGTTATAAGAAAAGATGTCATCTCAGAGTCTCAGAGATACAGCATAGCAAAAGCACCATAAGGAATGACCTCTGAAATAAGGAGATGGATGGGTAGGGTGTGAGGCATTTCCTCGTGAGTGACACTTAGTGTGGGATTACCTTGGATTATAGAGTGGTTGTCATGTGTGACCTGGTGGATGGGTGTGGTTGGCTACTTGATGGGGGCTTGAGTCCAATCATTCTAGGAAGTGGAAAAAACATGGTCCACAAAGGCTGCAGTTGCCTGGACAGGCATCTTACTGAAGGCTGGGCAATGGTTCATATACAGGGCTTCCTGGAAGCTCAGCTTGGTCATCCATTATCTTTTTCTTTTAAATTTTGTTGTTGCTAGTCCTGAAGCTTGAACTCAGGGACTGGGCAATATCCCTGAGACTCTTTGTACTCAAGTCTAGCACTCTATCACTTGACCCACAGCACCATTTTGGGCTTTTTCTTAGTAATTCATTGGAGATAAGAGTCTCATGGACTTTTCTGCCTGGGCTGGCTTCAAACCATGATCTTCAGATCTCAGCCTTCTGAATGACTAGGATTATAGGTGTGAGCCACTAGCGCCTGGCTATCCATTAACTTTTGACAACTTGGCATCATACCGCTTTCTCAAGTCTGCTCAGCAGTGCAATGAAGCCAGGAGCAGTGGTTTCCGGGCACCCAGTGGCTTCTTTCCTGGCATGGGTTCTGGCACGGAGAGGAGAGCTGGCCTCTCAAAGAAGAGCATTGGGATGACACTGAGAAAATGGAAGTAAAATAGGGCTTGATTCTTTGGAGGTTCAAAGCCAGGCTCTCAAGGGATCGTGACTTTGCTGCTGGGGACTGAGGAGGCGGTGGGGGCTTCCCTGGAGATCCAGAGATTCACAGCCATTTCTGGCGAGGTATGAAGAGCCTTCCACTTCATTGACACCTATGAGTAGACAATGGCGGCCTCTTTAGCTTTGACTTCTACAGCCCTTCTAATGCTTATCACAAAGTCAATTTTCCACATCACATGGAAGTCATGTTGAAATCAGGTAGCATCCATTCTTCTGCCATTAATACCTTGGGTGAGGCCTGATTTTGACCTCCCCAACACCCTCCCTGCTCCTTAAATCAAAATCTTAGCATCTGCCTGTTTAGATGTGCAAGAAGAGCACCATGTCAAGGCTTGGAGAGAGACCCTGAGCTCTGACTGTCTGCTCATGGGAATGGCAAAGCCTGTTGCTCCCTGTATGGCCTGCCCAGGCAACACCAGGGAGAAAGATGCTCTTCCAGGAAGTGAACAAGAAAGGCAGGAATGCTGGCCTTGTCTTGTAAGCCCTTGCTCTTTAACGTGTCTTCGACCACCTTCACCCTAGTATAAGCATCACTGTAAGAAGTGTAATCTCGTGGCTCAGGCCAAATTTAACTGTCAGAAGTTCATTCTAGCAAGATCCTTAGGTGACTTGGATATGCCCGTCTAAGGTACAACAAGTCTCTATACTAGCAAACCTGGTGCAATGAACATGCAACCAGGACAGACTGGTCTCTGGTCCCAGGGAGGCATACGCAGTAGGACTGGAGGCAGAACTTTGGGTAGAGATGAAATGGAGAATGCAAGGGAGGCAGACAAGCACCTTTTCTGCAGCATGCCTGGATTCTCTCCATTCAGTCCTCTTGACTTTCTATAGATGAGAATCTTAGTGTATAATTCATTGACATGTACCTCTGACATAAGGATTTCTTTTCACTCTCTTCAACCTTATCCTGCCTCTCAAATCCAGTATAGTGACCAAAATGCCAACAATGCTTCCACTCTTCTCAAAAAGCCTTGCTTATTATTTTTAGCAAGGAACGTAGATTTGGTCAAGAGAGATGAAGGAAGGAGAAAGGGAACTCCCTTTTCTTGTGAGGAAGGGAAGAAGGGCCTTCTTTCTTTCATATGTGTAACGTGTACACACCTGTGTGGTCTGAATGTTGGAGCCTAGCTCAGAATCTATGCGGTGAAATCCAAGCCCTCATTGAACTGTGATTAGGAGGCAGAGAATGGTGGACAATGATTAAGTCACAAGAGGGAGCTCTCATGAATGGGATTAGAGCCTTATGGAAGAGGACTAGCAAACTTCAGACCCCTCTCTGCCATATGAAGACAAAACTACAGGATGTCACTTATGAACCAGAAAGTGGACTCTCTCAGACACCAAAGAAGCTGATGACTTGATCTTGACCTTCTCAGCTTCCAGAACTGTGAGAAGGAAACTTCTGTCATGCATTAGCCACTATTTGTTATAGCAGCTCCATAGACTAAGAAACATTCACAGCCCAAATAGGCCCAGGATGGGGACCTGTGCCCAGGAGGAGCCATTCTCCAGGCCTCCTGGATATCTGAATAAGCTGAGTGTCCCTTTTTCTGAGAGCCTTTTGGTCAACTGGAGTGTCCAATGGTGGCCTTATATACTTGGAAAAGTTCGAAGCTCCAGGGGAGCAAAGGGTTTCATAGCCTGAGGGTATGCCTCAAGCCCCAAGTTCAAACCTCAGTATTACCAGAAGGAAGAAAAGGAGAAACAGACTTTATGTTACTTTCATTTTAGGAAACAAATGTACCTCTTCTCCAAGCCATAACTCTTCCTTGCTCCTACTACTGCATCTTTTCTTATTATGTATTCTGTGGTCCTTTATGAAACCTTATCTTCTACTTTGTCAGAAGAGGTATGCTCTCATTTCTTTAGAACCCAGCAGTATAGAAATAAGGACTAAGGACAAATGGTGTGCCCTTGTGCCAGAATATTCATATAGCCTTATGGAAAGTTTTTCTAACATAGTTCAGTTGAACATGAAAGAAAGAAAAAGTCTTTACCCTGAGCCCGCAGAGCCTCCATTGAGATTAGTGGTCAGCCACTGCATGGGACTAGGTCCCGCCCCTTTTCTCTTCACTTCCCTCTTCACTGTGCATATCTCCTTCTCTTTTCTAGCCCACATGGTGTCAGAAGTAACCCAGCCGAGGGATTCTGGGCCAGATGATTTCTGCAAGGATGGGAGATGTGATGGTTGGTTGTCAAAAACAATTACAGGAGAAGGTGGCGCACCCCATGCTGGATGGTACATCCGATGTGACATTTGGGTCTATGAGATGCAGTTTTAATATACAGCAGGAAAAACTGCAGTGACAATTATATAAAGCAGGTGAAGCTGCTTCTTGCTGGTCAGCAAACATCAGCTCAGAACCACTTTACAGCTCTTTACCAGCAACTAAGTGCCTTTATTTACAGAGTGCCTGTCACTTCCCTTTGGCTGGAGAGCTGGTGTATTATTTAGCACGCATTTATCTGGGGAAAACATTTCAATTTAAATCAGCTGGTACAACAGTGGCTCTTGCCAGACTGTTTCCCTGTGGTTCTAAAAGACAAGAAGTGTGTCTGATCTTAGAAGGGGGAGGGTTAGCAGAGGGAAGTTCCATTGTTGGAGAGCCTCAGGGGTCAGTACTTGAATAAAGACAGCATGGGCTGGAGTTTTTCATTCTTCCTCTCCTTTTAAATAGCAAGATGTAAAATGAGCATCTTAGAGCTTATTCCTGCATCTTCCGGTGAGGGGTAACTCTTAAGGGAACGAAATAAGTAGAAAGGGGTGTCTCCACATGCATTGTTACCACAAAGGCTAAGGATCCCCTAATGCAGTCTCTCCATAGTTTTGAAGAGGAGACAGCCTCATCCACCATGACAATGCAAGGAGATAGGAGCCAGGTTTGCATAGAGGAATACAGAGGTCTTCCTTTTATCTTCTGAGGCCTTCAGAAGGCTTCTATGAAGAGAGGACAGCTATGGGTGGGTTGAACGTATGGGACTAAGGAATTTAATATGTAATATTTCTTAAATTGCAATGTATTTATAAATGTAAATTGTTGCATGTGGCTAGTGGCTATAATACTGGATAGGTGAAGCCTAGAGCATAGATTTGATGCCCTGCAATTTGGATTTAGGAGAGCCATTTAAGATGTATGTATTATCTTTGAAAACAATGATACTAGGCAAAAAAGAGCATGGCTAAAGATGGGAAGAGACAGAGGCACGGACCAAGTAGAAAAGCATTGCAGTGGTTCAGGAGCTAGAATGGAGGTTGATAACCCAAGCAAAAGTTAGCAAGACTGTCAGAATCAAACTGGCATGGAAGTCCATGCGTGCCCTCCCAGCTATTCAGGATGAGGTGATAGGAGGTTTGAGACCAGATAGGGAAAAGTTGGTATGAGACCTTCATCTGAAAAATGTAAAGCCAAGGATTGGGGGTGTGACTCAAGTGGTAGAGTGCTTTTCTAGAAAGCCTGAGTCTTTGA